AACTATCTTGTGTTTATTTATAAAGAAGAAATATCTCCCATCAAGCATTTGTGTACTCTGAATAAGGATTATAGACAAGAAACAAATGCTTCGATCCTGTATCAATTTTTAGAATAAATGGCTAGAAGTCTAGCTGTTTTTTATTTTAGGATGTTTTCATGAACTTCTACATGATTGATGTGCTTCAGGCCTTTGCACATCTCGTTTTGATGCTTAAATTATCCATTTGGACCAGTGGGGTACCCTTCTGGTTGGCCTTTGTCCTTTTGACCTTGTCATATTTTTTTGTTATAGTTTTTGAAATTTTCTTTGTAAAACAGAATGTTCATGGATTTTCTTACCCTTTTCCTGTCTCAGGCCCAGGATTAAGCCTCTTCTCAGGGACCCTGATCCCTGCAGGGTGGAGGGTGGTTCGCTCATTGCTACAGTCATCAATGTTTTTATTTTTCATTTTAGGTGTCACAAAAAAAAAAAAAAACACATTTTTATTTAAAAAGTAACAAGATAATCAAACCAAAATTAAGTTTTCATTTAAAAGTCTCAGTTCATAAGTTTAATGCTTAAAGTTGCTGTGGGCACTCCCTCCTTCAGTTGAGTGGTCAGCCTACTGGAAACAGATAAGCATGTTTTGCAAATCTACTCACAGTGTTTATGTTTCTTTATCAGGGAAGAGACATCAAGTGAGGCAAAGGTCTGTTCAGCCCCACCACTGACCACTGCCCATGTCCATGATCCAGTTATGGTTTTGAAAGATCGACAGTGGCTTTCTGTCATGTTGTTGTCCTCATTGTTCCACAGCACTGACAGATTTCAAACTAGTACCAGCATGTTACCCTCAACTTCATAATACCCTTTCAATTTCCTGGGATGAATGACTAAGCAGTCTTCCTCCTAGCTACTCCAGACATGAGTGTTTCAAGGTCCATCTAACTTACCTAGAATCATGGTAAAAGATAGCAAGTGCAGAGAAGTACTTCTTCAATTCATTTTAAGAAATGTCAGAGTCTGTGAATTGAAATTCAGTTATGCTGGGCCACTTAAACAAGTTTACAGTGCAATCCTAAAACAATAATCAAAAATGCTTTAAATTTAAAATGTAGACATTAAGCTTGTTTAAAAACCTCTGCATGTCCAACAGAAGATGTTTGGAAGAGGAGAGTTTTTATACTACAATTGTAGGCTGCTTTCCCTCTCCTCCTCAGTCAACTAGTTTTCAAGGTAGAATGAGGAGGCTGCTCTGCCTGACAGCTGTGAATCAGGGTGTAGAGCATCATGCCATTAAGGCCATGGCCTGCCGCAGAGTGGCCTGAGAGCCCTAAGGAGAAAGCGTCTTTCCCTGGCCAGCCTCTTGCTCTGCATGTACTTTGTATTTCTTTCAGAGAAGCATCCCCTGGCCAAGTGGCCTGAGTCCAGTCACTTAGTCTCCCCCACATCTCAGTCTTCTCATTGGCATAATGAACTTGATAGGTCTTCTCAGCTTCAAAAGTCAGAGTTTATGAAGACTCAGGATGAATAGAAATATGTGCCATGCAAGATGTACCTAGATCACACCTAAAATGTCATGTCAGCTACCACCTTTGGTTTCTCTTCCTCTGCCTCAGATTAACAGAAAAGGTGCATCTAACCAAGTGTCCTAAAAGCTTCCATTTTGCTCAAATGTCCAGAGAAAGTGCACAGGCATTCAGCTGCAGTATGGACTCCCACCTTCTGAATTCCTGCAAACTGCCCATCTCCCTAACCTCATGATGCCCCTGCAAAGTATTGGCTCACACCTCCCATAGGGAGAGAGATGCAAGCAGCAGCAGTGCTGGTAGATCAGCATCACAGTGCTGCACACACAGCCATTAGTGAGCACTTGGTCCACCTAGGGCAGAGCAGTGAGAAAGAAGACAGAAGGTCAGCCCTGAGCAAGCTGAGTAAGGGAAATCAGGCCTAGCGCTCTGAGTGCAAAGTCCACGGGACTGGCATGACATCTAGATGCTGCACATCCCATAGTGCGGCGGTGGGCATCTGAAACACTCAGGCTCATCTGATCTCTGCAGGCTTCCTCATACCCACTTTATCATTACCCTGTTGATTTGCCTCCTTTCAAAGGAGGATTTGCATGTTTCTTCTCTCCTTCCTTTTCCTGGCATATAATTTTGAAAGTAAGTTACAGACATGAGCGACTTAAACTCATTTTTTTTTAACTTTTTACTCCACTAATGTACCTGAAATACATGATAATGTGGGGAAAGATACTTGTAAAAAAATTAAAATATCTTAATACTCAAAACTACCAAAATTTGTTTCACCTATTGTTTGATGCAACTCTGGTACCGTGCCCTTCATCCTCTCAGTGCTGCTGGACCACTCCATGGTGCGGTGACACACCCTGCAGCATCTCACCTCAAGTAGATGCCCTGTGCCTTTCTCTGTCAGAGCTTCTCTGACACCAAGGAGATGGAAGCACAGGGCAGAGGTCAAGTTTGGGAGTAAACAAGAGATGAGCCCCACCCAAGGAGACTGAGCAAGAGATAAAACACACATCCACGTTGATGCAGAAAATACCCTGGTGTTTTCTAGGCTCCTCAGAAAGGTCTGGACCCAGTTGAGCACCACTTTCCCTCAGTAGTGATCTGGTTGAGGCACCTGGACATGGATTCTCCTGCTTCTCATTCCTCTTGGTTCCTCACTCTTGCTCCCTGGAGTCACCTATCCAAGCCCTTGTTTAGTCTCATCTTTTAGAAGAAACTCAATCTATAGTAACTGCACATTTGTCACCAAACACTTGCTGAGTACCTACTGAAGGTTGGAGTTGAGCCACCCAGGAAGAAAGGGCTCCCTGAGCTCTCAATCTAGGACACAATGACAGAGAGGCTTGGCGTGGCCAAACATTAATCAGACTTCTGAACCTTCTCCTTTGCCCATCTGTGCACTTCCTTGTGAAATTAAGTTTCAGCAAAAGAGCCCTGCTAAGTCAGCTTAGCCAGAATCCCCTTCCTTCATATCTGATCAGATTCCTCATCCTGCAGAGCATGCCTGATCTCCCTGGCCCATCTGTAGCAGGAATCCTGTTAGTTTTGTCCTGTCAGAATCCATGTGCCCCTAATGTTTGCTCTTAGTCACTTCTCACCCACGGACCCCAACCCTGCTCATTGGCTATAAACTCCCACTTGCCTGTACTGTATTTGGAGTTGTCTGGATGTCTCTCCTCCACTCAAATCCCCACTGGGGTCCCTGTATATAGGTGATGGTGCTGAGTAAATTCTTCCTGACTATGCTTTAGCAAGTATCATTGAGTAATTTTTCCTTTCATAATAACAAAATGACACCTGCTTAAATTGAAGCTAACAGATGCACCTCTATATGGCGGTGTAAAAGGACTTTGCAATTAAATGATTTCAGTCTCAATTTTGGCTGAGTTCCCAAGGTAATTGGTGTCAACTACTTGCACTTTACAAAGATTGACACCAGATCACCTATGCAAGGCTTGCAAAGTCTATGACCCTCAGTAGACCTCTCATGTCCCATCTTTGGAAAGGTTGAGAGAGGTTAGGGACATCAAAAGGGGCAGATTATAGAAGTTTTTTTTTTCTTTCTTTCTTTCTGATTTTCATGAGACTAGAAAATCATGAGTCATGCTCCCATGACTTCTGCCATGGGAGAAAGATGACAGCCCCCATCTCCTTCATTCACAATAAAGAGAAGTGATCTATCTCTGAACACCAGGGAGATGTCCACCTCTCCTGGGGTCCCAATGAGGCTGATATGTCTCCCTGGGGCTTGGGAACACTGTGGGAGGGTGTCTGATCTTTGACTCGTGTGTTCTGCCAGTGGAGCACACAGACGTGTTATGAGGACAAAGAAAGCAATGTGACCCCATGGACATGAGAGTCATATCCTGCCCAGGTGTATTCTACAGAGAAGTACCACAAGGTGCCTGGGCAAAGGGGCATCTTAAGCCACCAGCCTGCATCAAGATTGTAAACTAGATTCCTGCCAGTGGAAGAGAAGGCAGGACACTGCTCCTTCCTCTGTCCCACAGACCTCTCAATCAGACTCCTGCCCCTCTGTCCACCTGCCAGTCTCCTACTCCTGCAGGAAGCACCACCACCCTCAATGCATCCTTCACCACATCACCAAGGGCTCAGCCACAGGTGCCACACTGCCCTTCCATCTCCTTGAAAGCACTTTCCAGACTCTCCTAGGCCTGCTCCTCAGGCAGCATCCCTAAGCCAGCCTTTGTGGCTCTGGTTAGAGTGTGCCTCTCAAGTACTAGTCAGCATGTTACTTTTCTTTTTAACCTATCACCATGTCCAGCCCCGCGACCCCCCGACTCCCACTACACACACAAATCATAAGTTCACGCTCAGTACATTTCAAGCCAATATAATCAGGTTGGCAGAGTCTCTAGAACACGCCCACAGAGCAGCTGAGTTTGCCTGATTCTGAATTACACTGATTTAATTCACAGGCGGTTTACACCACCACTGACCAATGCTGTAACTGCTAGACACGTGTTGCTATTTAGCACTTCAAACGTGGCTAGTGCCACACGCTGAAACGACAATGTTTGGACATACTGAGTTAAATAGGGCAGTTAATATTACTGGTGTCTTGACACCTTTTCAATGTGGTTATTTAGCAAATGTAGAATCACACTCGTGGCTCTCAGTTTCTGCTGGACCCTGGCGCCCTAGACCCTCTGCTAGCCGTCTTCACCTTTCTTCTCGGTCTGCACCACTGGAGTGTAAGCTCCCCTGGAGCAGGGGCTGCTTGTTTCCAGGCCGTACCTCCAGCTCCGGGGGCACTGTGGTGCTGGGTTATTAACTGCCACAGGAGTGACCTGAGAGTAAAGCAACCAATAGCGCGCGAGGAAAGATAGGGTGGGCGTGGGCGGTCCCGGCAGCGTCTCCCCTTGGCCCCGCAGCTGGACCCCCTTCCCTGGTGTGGCCAGCGCACGAGGCGCCCCGCCCCCACCCGCTCGCGGGCCCTAGGGCCTGGTTGCCCAGCCCGGGTTTCCAGGCAACGGACTAACGCGGGCGCTGGGCAACCTGGCCCAAGGACTTGGACTGTGCCCCTGGGCGGGCGGGACGCACCGTGGCTGCGAAGGAAACGATGGATGGGAGCGACGAGGAGGACGAGGAGATCACCGCCGCCACGCTGCGGGGCGAGCCCCGGCCGCCGCCAATCTCCGCGCTGTCCTCCTTCAGCTACATCCCGCCGAGGCGCCAGGACCCTAAGGAGTACAGCTACTACTACCGCCCGAGCCGGGTGAGTGCTAGCGGCAGAGCAGGGCTGGGGCCAGGCGCACAGTCCCCGCGAGGCCGGGGCGGGGCTTCACCGCTGGGCGGGGCCTAGGGCGGGGCTTCACTGCTAAGAAGAGCCCTGGGGTGGGGCTTCACGTCTGTGGAGCGGCCCTGGGGCGGGGCGTCACTGCGGAGGAAAGGCCCAGGGCGGGGCTTCACAGCTGGGCGTGGGCCTGGGGCGGGGCGTCACTGCTGAGGAGCGGGTCTGCGGGGCTTCACTGCTGAGGATAGGCCCAGGGTGGGGCGTCACTGCTGAGGAAAGGGCCCAGGGCGGGGCTTCACAGCTGAGCGGGGGTGCCTGGGGCGGGGCGTCCCTGCTGCGGAGCGCGCCTGGGGCGGGTCGTTACAGCTTGGTCGGGGGCCTGAGCTGGGACTTCACGGTTGGGCGGGGCTTCACAGCTGGGCGAGGCCCGGGGGGCGGGGCTTCACAGCTGGGCGAGGTCTGGGGGCGGGGTTTCACAGCTGAGCAGGGGCCTGGAGCGGGGCGTCACCGCTGAGGAGCGAGGGGCGGGGCTTCACAGCTGGGCGGGTCCGGGTGCGGGACGTCACTGCTGAGGAGGTGACCCAGGTGGGGCTTTACTGCCGGGGAGGGGTTTGGGGTAGGTCTTCAGGATCAGAGAGCGGGAACTCTAGGTCTGGAAGGGGCCCTCAGGAGGGGCTTCGCTGCTGAGGAAGTGGTGAGGGGGACCTGGCTTCACTACAGAGAGTGTCCTGGAGTGGCGCTTCACTGCCGGGATCTGGGCGGGGGCTTCAAGGCTGCGGCCTGGGGAGGGCCTTCACAGTACCATTGGAGCCTTGGGAGTGAGATCACAGCCAAGGAGATATCGTTGAGGCAGGGTTGCCCAGTGGGCAGCGTTGGGGCTGCGCTCTCCTCTGGTCCTCTGGTGGTGCAGAGGGCAAGCTGCATTGCACTGGGGATCAGGGCCCAGGAGGAACGGGGCTTTGTTGTCAGGGTCAGTGGGTGGGGCGCCGGGTGCGGGGCTTCACCTAAGGGCGGTGCCTTGCAGGGCTTGCTAAGACCCAGAGGGCTGTATGCTAATGGGCAGGAGAGGGAGGTTGTTCCTCCTCCAGGCAGGTGAACCCCAAAGGACCATCAGTGTAAGATGAAGTCCCTTGGGGAGGAAGTTGGACAGAGACAGAACCTGGTGTGTGAGGGGATGTTCCCAGCCAGGACTAGGAGTGGGGTGGAGGGGCGTGGAGGGATGTGAATGAAGGATCCTCACTGAGTTAGCCAAGGGTGAGTTAGCCAAGGGTGCTTTTCCAGGAAGGGAGAAAGCTGCTAGGCGTCTGGACCCCTAAAATCTGTGACTAGGGTCTGTTTGTGGCAGGTGGGTCCAGAGTAGCAGTGGAAACAAGTCCTTGACCCAGGGACAATGCCTACAGGGTCCAGAGCATGGGAACCTCCTGCCACCTGCATGCCCCGCCCCCCAAAACAAGTGGGCGATCTAGCCAACAGCCTGCTGAGAGCTGGACTGGCATCAGGTTCTGGCCTGGCCCCAAACTCCACATGCCTAGTGAAAGGCTCCGCAGGTCTAAGGCCACACAGCAACAGCAGCAAATTCAGACCTTGTCAGGGGCCATCTATTCCTTTCTTCTCATGGGTGCTAAATGTCTCCAGGGTTTTATTACTCAGGATACAGGATGCAGGGTGTCATTATTGAAAAGGGACATTGGTTGGGACCTCAGCCTGCAGAGATAGCTCAGCACCTGGCATTCCTTATCTTTGCAATCCTGGTTGCAAGAGGGGTATCATTAACCAGGTGTGCGTTTGGAAGGTCATTCACTCATTAAGTTTTAGGTGTTCCCTCAAAACACATTATTCCTTTCCTCCATCCCACCCACAGTCCCAGAGCCCAAATAAATTTCATACAAATTAGGTCTGCGCATACTGGCATATTTTCACACACATAAAGTGTCAGGGTACACCATGGAACTTAGCCTTCCAGACAGAAACAGCTGTTCCTGGTTTTGGGGGTTGAAGGATGCCGCCTACAATTTCCGTGGAGTTCTAATCCCTGGTACCTGATTTGGAGATGGGATTCTACATTGGTAATCAAATTTAAGTGACATCATTGAGGTAGACCCTACTGCCCTATGACTTTCGTCATTATGAAAAGGGGAAATTGGGACTGAGACCAAACATGCACAGAGGGAGATGTGGTGAAGGGATATGGGCAGAGGCCATGTGCAGGCCACAGAAGGAGGGTTCAACAGGGCTTCCCACACAGCCTCTGCCAACCCTGCCAACGCCTCCATCCCACACCTAGGGTTGCCTGAACTGTGAGGCAATACGCTTCTGTTGTTGAAGCTTCCAGTGTACAGAGCTTCCTGCAGCTGTAGCATACCAGGACAGCAACCATAGGCCCAGCCTGCACCTGAGAGCATCTCTTGTAATGGCAGCTCCTCTGCTTGCCTTTGAGCCATGTGGAAGCCATGTGGAAGGACAGACAGGTAGAACATAGTAGGTATTTGCCATCAAATCTGTCCTTACAGTCCTGTTGCTGACTCTTCTAGGGTTTAGAGCTGTGATTCCCAGCCTCAAGGCCACCATGGACCTCAGTTTCCCTCCCAAGAATAGTGGCTTTTTTAGAATATATTTTTAGTTGTAGATGGACAGAATACCTTTATTTTTTTTATACAGTGCCTCACCTGTGCTAGACAAGCACTCTACCCCTGAGCTACAGCCCCAGCCCCCCAAGAACAATGTTTAAAAAGAATTTCACTTGTTAAATATATTTTGCCTTTTAAGAATGCAATGACTGTATGATAGCCAATTAATTTATGATTAATGAATAACATTAATACACAATATGAGGTAAATAGCCAAGAAGGTAAAGAGTCTTGATGTCTCAAGATCTATGCTGTTTTTTAAGAGAATAAAAAATTGGTCTGGCTTTTGGATATAAAGTAAAAATTCAGAACACACTATTCTGAGGGGTTCTGCCAAATGCCACTTCGATGCTGTGAAGAACTATGAAAAAAAGACCAAACACATGAGGGACGAGATGTATGTTTGTCAGAGATGAGAGCCAGGTTGCAGGACTCTGGGCACATGGATGTGAAGACACTGCAGCTCAGAACAGGCTAGAGTTGGGCTGATTTATCCACTCAGCCACAGCAGATAGGGGTCCCAGAGCAGGACACCAGTTCCTATGGACCAGATGTGGCCAAGGGAAAAGGCAAAGTTGAGGAGGGAGGCCCAGCATATTCTTCTTAAATTTCAAAGTCTAATAAATGGCTTTACCTTCCTGAGTTCAAAGTAAGGGGCAGAAATACTGGGAGGGGTGAAGTGACTGGGGCCTAGTCACTTGGAAAATCAGAAGTAAACCAGGAAATGTGTGCCTTTAATGCGGGGGTTGGCACACCAAGGCTCCAAGGTTGGAATCTGCTCTACTTCCTGTTTCAAATAAAGCTTTATCAGAACACAGCCTCATGCTTACTTGACTATCCCACCAAGTTGAATAATTTTGGACAGAAACCATGTGACCTGCAAAGCCTGAAACAATTAGTAACTGTTCCTTTACAGATAAAGTTCCCCACCCTCTGCTCTGTTATATTACTGCATTGGGGGAGTTCCCCACCCTCTGCTCTGTTGTATTACTGCCTTTGGGGAGCTAGGGATGGCATGAAGAACAAATCAATAACAAGTGAATCTTGGGGGAATTTTCTTAGCACAGTTTTGCTAGATGGGGTCACAGAAATAAACAAACAAAAAAAAATTCAAGCCCTGAATTCTTTAGTATCACATGAAAGAAAGTTATGCAGCAGAATATTAACACCTAAATAAAGGGTTGTAAAAGCACAAGAACAACAAAAGACATGTTCCAGCCCTTTGACAAGCTGGCTACCACTCCTCAAGATTATATGAACTGGTATTTAGTTAGCCACAGGCTTCCTGAGAAAGCAACTGCACCTAAAACCATCTCAGGCTCTACTCAAGCTGAGCGGGAACATTGCAGAATCAGGACTCAAGTCCGTCCTAAGCTGTGTTCCCTACATGCAAATCCATATGTAGAAATCCTAACCTTCAAAGTGACAGCATTAGGAGGCAGGGCCTTTGGTAGACACTCAGATCAGGAAGGTTGAACCCTCATGCTTGGGTTAGTCCTGGAGATCCCTTGGCCCTTCTGCCATGTGAGGACACAGCAAGAAAGCACCATTGTGAACCAGGAAGCAGCCCCTCACCAGACACTGAATCTGCCAGCACCTTGATCTTACACTTCCCAAACTCCAGAACTGTGGGAAATAAATTTCTCTTGTGTGTAGCCACCCACTCTATGATATTTTGTTATAGCAACTGGAATGGACTGAGACAGTTAATGACTGTGTAAACTGATGGGGGTCATGTAGTGGTTAGTAATACAGGCTGTGGAGTCCTGCAAATATCGTGGCTCCATGTTTACTAGCTATGTGGACTAACCAACTTCCCAAACACTCTCACTTTATCCATCTGTTATGGCCTATTGTCCCCTGGAAAGCTCATGTGTTAGGTAGTGCAGGAATGTTCAAATTATTTGGGGCTCATGATTTCAGAGGTTCAATGATTAGATTATGAAAGTGGTAACCTCATCAATGGATTAATCCATTGGTGGATTAATAATCAGAAAGGACTACTGGGTGATAACATAGGCAGGTGGGCATGGCTGGAGGAAGTAGGTCACTGGGGGCGTGACCTTGGGGATTATATATTTTGTCCCAGGCTCCTTGCTTTCCCTCTCTGGTTTCTGACCACAATGGCAGCTTCCCTCTGCCACACCCTTCCACCATGATGTTCTGTCTTACTCCGGCCCAGAGCAATGGAATCAGCCAACTGTGGACTGAACCTCTGAAATCATGAGCCCACAATAATCTTTTCCTCCTCTAAGTTGTTACCGTTAGGTGTTTTGGTCACAGCAATGAAAAGCTGACTAACAAATCATCCACAAAACAGACGGTGCCAACCTCATAGAGCTCTTCAAGAGTCAC